GTTTCCCTCCAGGTTAAAGGGCCTGTGTTAGACTTTTATTAGGACTTTAATAAGGCTTTACAGAACTCTCTTGTGTTTCCCTCCAGGTTAAAGGGCCTGTGTTAGACTTTTATTAGGACTTTAATAAGGCTTTACAGAACTCTCTTGTATAATGGCAACTAAAATGCATCTCTAATGCCTTTCACATTYCAATATTTGTTTAGTTTTAGTATCTCTGAGTGTGTCTTAAATTTTAGCATATAGTATTTCTTATGTCCTTCTCCAGGAAAGTACTGTTAACTTGGGTAATCATTCCACTGCTCATCAGCAGCCCACATAATGGAACTTGACTTCAGGGATTCTTTTTCCTGTACTTCAGATCAGAATAAGTAAAAGATTTTTGCTTATTTCTTGATCAGCTCGTACAGGGTTGTGGTACCCTGCCTGCCTCGAGCAGTTCCCCAGCAAGAACTGGGTATTACTTTTTCAACTACCCTACTAGCTAACTGAGACCTTTTATAAAGTTCTTGTGAGCTTGGCCACTTACATTCTGGGGAAACTTGTCATCTGTGATGTGGATTTTTTTTCCCCTGTTCTTTCTAAATGTAGAATTCCATCTCCAGAACCATTGATTCAGTAAAAGAGAGGACTAAAACTTTATCTGATTTTATAGCACACGTGGCTAAATTATAGTGTCCTTAAGGAAGGGAAATCAAGGGGAGATGTCAAAGACATAAGTGATCATCAGAGTGCAAGTAAGGCTTGTTGCCTATTGGTGYTGTAATCTTTCCTTGTGAAGGAAAAGGAGGAGAAAAATTGGTAGGAGTGTCGTATTCTTGCCTGTATGTGAAAAACACTCAGGGTTTGTTACTTCACCTGTAAGTGATTTTTTTTCACTTAAACTATCTCTTATCTATTAGAATAAAAACATTCAGATTATTGCCAAGTTTGACAGCAAAAGATTCTTATATCTAGTTGTTAAAATACTTTATTTTATATGCTTTTTTTTGTACTGCATACTTTACAGAATAAACTAGAATATAAATATTTCCTCTTGCCCAGTTTCAATCTGAACTAGATTAAACCAAAAAGACACATTTTTTTTTTGTCAGTAAAATCAACTCAATGTTAAATTTTGATATCATCAGCTTGAGTTGCCTGCTTGGCAGGAAGCATAGTAAGCATTTCTTGGAGCCCTCCCTAGCTTCCTATCTTTACATTCCTCCAGGTAAAAAATGCTTCTGTTGTGTATACTCTGCTGTAAACACAGCAAAGTTTATAAGTTTATATTTTAAATGACTGCAAACATACAGACTGCAAGGCTCTCATCCTCACTAAGTCCCCAGTCAGTTGCCTGGAGCACATAATTCAGGGCTGGCCTTTCTAAAGGAACTGGTGATGTTGGATGCCCATGTCAGTAGCATCTAGGCCAACTTGCTTAGCTGCTTTTTGATTTGTTGCAGTAYAGCTAACACAACCTTAACGAAGCAGCCTTAGCATGCACTTAATAATATGAAATGTGTATGTTTGGGATCACTAGGCTTTCCAGATGAAGAAGAGATGGAAACTGGAGAGGTAAGATAGGGATGAGGGAATCTATTCCGAAGTATTGAGATGCTGTACATGAAAGTGTGTGAGGGAATTTCATCATTTCAAGGTTTTGCTCCGAGTGACACAGTGAAATTCCCTGTGAATACTGATATCATATGAGGTGGTTCTACAGTGATAATGTGAACAGTCTGTTTTTGTTTGTTTGTTTTGTTTTAGTATTTACAATAATCAGATTGCTAATGAGCTATTGCAAAACCAAAAGAAGAGACTTCTGTACCAGGTTAAAACTGTTCCAAGAAATCATGTAAAAGAACACGCATCAGGCTTTGTGTGTGGATATTTATTATGCAAGTTTTGGGGGAGTCTGCAATAAGTTGCTTCCTGCTAGGTATAGGAAGACAGGCTGGAGGTGATCGTAACTTGTGGATAGTTAGCAACATTCCTGTGAGCAAATTTTCTGCCTGAAACTCTTGTTCTGGAAACTTGGACATTTGGAGCCCATACCCTTTTGCCTTATGATGAGAGACTCGGAGAACCTCTGCTTGGCTTCTGAGAATGGTTCTTGCTCAGTGCTGGTATTCAGTTATATTCATGAAGATAAGATCACTGTTGCTGTAACAGTCTCAGAACTGAGGAGGAAGACACTTAAGCACATTTGTCTTAAATATAAATGTTTACAACCCTAGCAAATACTGACCACGTAGAAAGAAAAGCACAGATACAGTATATTTTCATAAAACTTTGTGCCTCACTGGGTCATGTGACCAAAACACTAAATTTTTTAGCCACTGTAAAATTGTTTTGTAAAAAAAACCCAGCTCTCAACAATATTTTGTATATTAGTTGATTATTTGCTGTTGTGCTTTTTCTATGTATTTACCCTGTTTGATTTCTACTTTGATAAACATCTTTTTTTCCTGCCTTGCAACTTTCTCTGTAATTAAGTTAAGTCTTTAAACTTGTGGATGTTCAATTTTTCAATAAATTTGTCACTGCATTAAATGAATTGCTGCTATGGTTGATGTGGAGTTGAATTTAGTTTAAATGCTTATTGGCTTCTGGAAACAGGCTGGCCAAACTAGAATAGTTAACATGGGGCTGGGTGTGTGGGAAGGGGGCAGGGGCTTGTGTGTGTGTCCTTTGCATCAAGAGTTAACCCCGGTGTGTCAGCAGACCCCTAGTGTAATCTGGGATACTGAGCAAATAATTCACAGAATCACAGAATGGTTGAGGTTGGAAGGGGCCTCGAGAGACCATCTAGTCCAACCCCCTGCCCCAGCAGGGACACCCAGAGGACGGGGACACAGGGTGGCATCCAGGTGGATCTTGAAGACCTCTAGAGAAGGAGACTCCACAGTCTCCCTGACGTGACGGATATGCTCCTTTCCCAGCTCAACCTGGCCTGTACCTTACATGCAGCCCTGTTCAGTTGCTTACCACCAGAGATTTATCTAATCCTGGTAGGYGCCACCATTCTGATTTCTTCTGCCACTTAGACTCAACATAACATTCCTGAAGGCTGCATCCCAAAGGGGAGGTAAGGCTAATACACTAGCCAATGGGCCTCTGAAATGAAAGAATAAGTCAATCATCTTATCCTATAAATATGTGGACAGCCCGAGAGCCCCTCGAGCTCTCCTGGCATGGCAGCGGGTTGCACATCAGGATCTCCCCTTGTGGAGGGACGCCTCTCAAGGTTACTCCTTGAGGTTGAGAGACCACCCCCCCCCCCCCTTCCCACAGCAGATTTGTGGTAAGTGAACATAGTGCGCTTTCTTTAACTTTACTTTGTAACTGTGCACAAGAACCCTTAGTCATAAACCGTTGACCAGGTCTGGGACTAGGATTGGATCCAGCTGCACCCAGACTCCTTTCAGAAGGGGCCTGGAAAGCAAGGGAGTCCAATCTGAACCTCGTGACCCAGTGGGAGGGTATCCCAAGATAATKGTGTATTATCTTGAGCCTCCATGCAGTGACCTTAATAAGTAACCTTGCCATAGAATTTCGTGAAATCTTTGTCCATATCAATAAACCCAATTGTTATTTCTTTCATATGAGTGAAGTGCATTTTGTCACTCACCCCTGCCACCACTCATTCTGTGACACCTGGGCAACCTGTTCCAGGGCTCTGTCACCCTCACAGGAAAGAAGTTCTTCCTTGCATGGAGATAGAACTTCCTATGTTTCAACTTATACCCATTGTCCCTTGTCCTATCGCTGGCCACCACTGAGAAGAGCTTGGCCCCTTCCTCCCTACATTCCCCCTTCATGAACTTATACATATTCATCAGACCCCCTCTCAGCCTTCTCTTCTCCAGAGAAAACAGGTCCAACTCACTTAGACTCCTTGTACTAGAGATGCTGCAGTCCCTTAATCATCTGTTGTGCTCTCTGCTGGATCCTCTCTAGAAGCTCCACATCCCTCATACTGGGGAACCCAGAACTGCCCTCAATACTCCACGTGTGGCCCCACCAGAGCTGAGTAGAGGGGCAGGATCCCCTCTGTCGACCTGCTGACAACAATCTTCCTGATGGAGCCAGAATCCGTTKGCTGTCTTGGGCATGGGGGCACTTCTGCCTTATGGTTGGCTTGGTGTCAACCAGGACTCCCAGGTTCCTCTCTGCAGAGCTGCTTTCTAGCAGGTCAACCCATAATCTGTCCTGGTGCCTGGGATTATTCCTCCCCAGGTGCAGAACCCTGCACTCGTCCTTGTTGAACCTCATGAGGTTCCTCTCTGCCCAACTCTCCAGCCTGTCCAGGTCCCTCTGAATGGCAGCACAACCCTCCAGAGTGTCAGCCACTCCACCCAGCTTGGTATCATCTGCAAACTTGCTCAGGGGGCTCTCAGTGCCCTCATCCAARGCAGTGATGAACAAATTGAACAGCACTGGGCCCAGAACTGACCTCTGGGTGAACACCACTGGCCACAGGCCTC